GTTGTATGAAGTAGACACGATCTAGCATCAATTTGATTGATGATGGCTGGGCAGAGATAGTTGAACTCTGTTGCATTCAGTGGAACCTGGATGCCCATGCCATGAGATGTAAGTAGCTTTGATGCATTGAAACACTGAAGAAAACAAAGGAGTGAAAATCACCGAAAGGCATTCCCATTAGAGAACCCCAAAAATGTTGTTTGATGACATAACACCCTTTCCTTATTGAAGTTTGATTCTTTATTTTTTTAAAGTTAACACTAATTAAAGTCAACTTTTGTTTTGAGTACTTAGGAACTTGCCTCAAGCTGTGGAGAGTTACTATGTCACAATAGTGGTATTCCACCTCTCTGCCTATTTCTTCTTGGCAGAAAGGGTCAAATCACTAGTCACCTATGGAGAAAGCCTTAAATGGAATAAGCTTGAGGGTAAAAGAACATTCACAAGCCTGTTAACTCATTCTATAAACCTATTAAGGAAATGAGCTTTAATTTCGAGATGGGATTCATTAGAGATTAAGAAATATGTTGTTTTAGTACTAACGCTACCCGATCTGGCCTAAACAAGCCCAAGACATGCCACTCTTCCAGCAATGACCATAGTTGCAAAACTTAGCTCAGTTCTGTCTACACACTTGGCAAAATAAATCTCTATGACAGAATATTAAATTGTGCACATTACTCTCAAGCAGGGCAAGGCTGGTAATAAAACAAACTTGTACCGGCAGGCAGCTGTTTCAACAATTAGATGACAAGTTTAGTTTGAACAGAACCTCATCTGATTATTATAAGCTGCCCCATTCCCCTTGAATTGGCAGTAGCACCTGTTTCTCATCTTCTATCAAGTTATTTTAATCTTCCATAATCCTTGGTGAATATTATTAAGAACGAACTTTATCACCACAGCTGCTATGGGAATAACCATCGTTAGGATTATCCCAGAATCAGTAGAGTCATATGATGGTCTGAATGAAGTACTTAAGTTTTGCTTATTAGCATATACCAGCTAATTCCTTGTTCTTGCACTCTTAGCCAAGGCAAACTGTGTACAGTCTGGAAGTCCAGTCTCGAAAAAACATATGAACTCAGAACTTCACTGCCCAAACATTCACTTGTCTAGTACATCATTCTTGGGAGTAGCTTCAATTTCATTACTCCACAAGTCATCGTGATCTCTGCCAAGGAGGTAACACTGTTCTTGCATTCCTTAGCCCCTTCAACCATACCTTTACTTAAAACATGGATTCTAACTCTTGCTTTTTGAAGCTCTATTTTCTATTTTTTTATTAATATTCACCTATAAGAGTTTCTTCAAAAATAACTTTGATATCTACTTTCTATACTTTTAAAAAATTCTATATTAGAAAATAGTTTGAGCAGGCATCACTATTCTTACTATCACCCAAGTTTTGTTTCAGGAACATTTACAACACATTAGGGACACTTTGGGCCAAGGGCCTTGTGGGAGAAAGTAGAAATTCCTTTTTCAATAACTTCACCATTTTTTCTTTAAATTCCTTATACTTACAGATAGAATGGCAATGACAGGACAAACAAGTAGGCATATTGATTAATAAAAGAACAGCACTCATCTTACCTCTTGAGTATTTTCATTCGTGTTTCTAGAATACATAAAGTCTTTTCTGGGCTCACTCACAGATTCATTTGTTTTTCTCCTAAACAGCCGGCTCAATGGGCTCTTTTCGGTGATACTGGGTGGAGTGGAACTGCTCACACCTTTGGGGAGTTTTCCAGGTTTTAGAGTTTCTATGGTCTCTAGAAAGTGAGTTTCTTCAGAAACAGCATTATACACAGTTGAAGTCACTTCACTAGCACCAACACTATCCTTGATTAAAGCATTCCTTCTACCACTGGCATGTTCTGATCGGCGAGATCCTTTCCCCTGACTGTTTCTAGGATCTTTACCTGAGCTATCAGAGTCATGATCTGGGCAAAGAGCTTTCCGATTATTTTTATTGGAAGCAGCATGATTATGGTGAGAGTGATGATCATGGTCAGGGTGATGATCATGGTCGGAGTGATGATCGTGGTCGGAGTGATGATCGTGGTCGGAGTGATGCTCGTGGTCATGGTGTATATGGATTCTTTTAATCTTATCTATGCCTATACTCTGAAGCAACTTTCTGAACCCTTCAACTGATAAGGAATTATTTTCTCCATAGCGATGGAAAAGTTGCTGTAGATGATGTCGCTGTGTGGTAACTGCCAAATCAACATTAATGCCAGATTCCCAGTTTGGAATAATTTTCTCAGTGGTCTGAGGGAAAGCAGTTGCTGGTTCTAGTTCACGAAGGGGATTTGTAACTGACAGTGTGAAGGTCAGGATCAAGATTACAGATAAACTCCTCGCCATTGTACCTTCCTAGAGAAGACAGAAAAAAAATTGTTGCTTTCACTTCTAAAACAATTTGAATTAAGAAATCTCATCCTGAAAATTGGTGTCTGATCAAATAATCAAGGTTTATACAGCATTATTTAGTGTGGCCAGGGTACTGCTAGGTACTATGAAACTACAGTATAGAGATCTAAAGTTTTAGCCTCTACTCAGCTAAAACATGTGAAACTGGATAGCAGTTGAGCACTAAAAGACTGTAATCAGCACTGTCAAAGCAATAGTAATTCAGAGACTGAAGAGATCCATGTGGCCACAGCCATATTGGCAACTTACTGTGTTGAGAACAACGATTCAAGACAAAACCCAATTACCTCTACCACCATTCTCTCATCATTTCATAAAACAATATTTTAACACCAAAAAGAGTAGATATGGCAATCAGAATAATTCCCATTTAAAGTTTTTCTTAAAGCTACATACTAATCAATTTAAGGCTTCTTTCCCCCAATACTATTTCTCAAACTCACCAAATTTCTTGTGTATGCTACAGGTTATTTCCTGTGCATACTCAAGTATATGTGTACTTTATTTTTATTTTTTTTAACACCTACAGCATCTGGTATTCCTAGGTGGTCTCCCATCCAAGTGCTAACGAGGTCGGACACTGCTTGGTTTCCGAGATCTGATGAGATTGGCCACATTCGGGGTGGCATGGCCGTAGACTTAGATGTGTACTTTAACCATATAAATGGGATCTTTTTTCCCTACTCACAAACAACAACTTTCCATGTCTGTACATATATATTGATCTCATTCTTTTGAATGACTGCATAATAATAGTTCCTTAAATAAATTAAACTTCATAAAAAATTATATCGCTTATGTTGCTATAAACCAGTGAAAATTTTACCAATCACTCAGACACAGACACGATTCCAAAGAGGAGTTAGGAACTGAGTTTAGTTTTGAAAAGCAGAATTCTGCTAAGCTGAGGAAGGTATAGTCCAGATAAGTGGATAGACTGGTATCAGGACCCCGCAGATGTCCAGCACCTATGATAGATAATAATCATTACTAAATTCATTTAGCTACAGCGAAAGAAGCAGAGGTGGGGTTTTGGAGCGAGAGAGCAAGAGCATGGGGAAACTTAGCTCTACCACTTTCAGTTCTCCCTTGCACCGAGAAAAGCTGGTAACATCTATTTTACATGACTGAGGAAACCACATGAACGATGTACGTGGAAGTGCTCCAAAAAACGTCAGCAGTGTTGCACACTGCTGCTTATCATACTGGAAACAGTGGAAAATGTAAGTATATAAGTACCATACAGCTAGACTCCTGAAAGAACACTCTTGGGGCCTGAAGTTTTAATAGGAAAAGAGAACCATTAAAAAAAATCATTTGGAGGAGAGAGGCAGGAGCGGGTGGGTGGGGACAAGCACGGGCGGAAAGCTCAGGGGCAGCTCCATCCGTGCCTTTTCTTCAGGAAGGATGCTTAAGGCGGTCGCAGACCCGCGGGCAGATCTCCAATCCCTGCAAGTCCGCGTGTGTTGGAGGAAAAAAGAAAGCCGAAAAAAAGGGCCTAGAGATAAGGGCAAGTGGAGAAAACGGGAAAGAGGGTGCACAAATGCTTCTAAGAGCTTTTTATTTTTAAACACGACCCTACCTTCTTCGAATAGGAGATGAATACAGACCGTTTTATCAGAAAGTCCTGCGTTGGACCCCAAAGTCCATCTGTGCACCCCAAACTGGGAGGTAAAGCCTCAATGCCGCGGGGCTTACCTCTCCACAGCCTCCTCTGGACCAGCGGGACTCACCTCTCCGCGGCCTTCGCAGTCCCACAGCCCGACCCCGCGTGCTAGTTCAGCTCCACTCGGGCGGTCCGGAGGGCTCGGAACCGGCCTGTGCTTCTGTCTCTACAAGCCTCTATAGAGCACGGAGAAGCGGTGGTCTCATCCGCGTGGCTGCCCCTAGCACCGGGGTAACGCCACGCAGCCACCGGGAAGCCGCGCCCCACGCGCCTTCGCCTCCCTGGAGCAGGACAATTACTAATTACCGCCGCGCGCAGCGCGCTGCCTGGAACCACCGCCTCCGCCGGCCCTGACTGCCGGGCATGCGCAGTGCGGCTCGGAAACCCGTCCCGGGCCGGTGGATCCGCGTGTCCGCCTGTTCCCGGGCGCCTCGGGGCCCGCAGGGCCGGGCGGGGAGATGAAGGGAGGGGCAAAGGCGCCGTCCGAGCGGACGCAGAGCGCGGAGACCAGTTGGGGACTCTTTCTTTTGAGGCCCTTTGCGCTCCTGCGCCTCTCTGAGGTCCGAGACTCGCTTGCCAAGGCCCCCCTGGGCCAGCGCCGTTCGCGGCTGGGAGCCCTGGTGTGAGGGGCAGCAGGACGCTCCTGACACCGCCCGGGCACTCGAGCCGCTTGTCTTTCTGGAAGGTCCTGAGGTACCCCTGGGGCGGAGGCCGCGTTTGTGCGCTGAGTTACGGCCCAAGCAACAAGAAGTGGCAGTGGAGGCCAGGCACTGAGGGCAATTCGGTCCAGGGCGTGGGGGCGGGGCCGGCGGGATCAGGGCCGCCTCCGCCACGCCCCCGGCTGCCTCCGAAACGCGGTGCGGATAACGCCAGCGGGAGAGGCGGCCTTGTGAGTAGTTCCGTTCAGAGGGCGGAAGTGTGGGTCCTGGTCTCAGCAGCTGACCAGCCAGCAACATGGTGGCATCGATGTTGGAGACCTCTCACGTGTTTTGCTGCCCGAACCGGGTGCGGGGAGCCCTGAGTTGGAGCTCCGGGCCCAGAGGACTTCTGGCCTTTGGCACGTCCTGTTCCGTGGTGCTGTATGACCCTCGGGTAAGAGAGGTGGCCGGACGCCTGACCCCGTGAGCTTCTGGGACTGAATCAGCTGGGTGCACTAGGGGCCGACTGTAGATGCTGCACAAGAGCGAGGAGACTGGGTGTGAGGTCGGGTCGGCTTCGGGAAGGGTGTCCACCTGGGCGAGGACTCTTGCGGTGGGCGCGCCAGACTCGCTCCCCGCCTGGGGTCACCATATCCTACCTGTGACCTGTTATCCTCACGTTGAAATTCTAATGATGACAACCTTTTTCTGAAGCCTTCTGTGGGAACTGTAGTGCTGTTAAAGAATTAGTTTGGGTTTTAAAAGGTTTGCAATTTAGGTGTCGATTAAATCCATTATTACATATGCTATCTCATTTCTATACTTCTCGCAGTGTTACTTTATAAACTTTCATTTTATGGAATTTCAAAAATATATCACTTGTATTTTAGCTTTGGGATTTTAAGGAACGTGCTATTGGGATAAGGCAGGACTTAACCTATTTCCTGAACTTCACCTAATCAGTTGATTGTTTACTGGGCCCTTTTCCTACCAAACTTCCCAAATGGCTAGTTTTTGCATGCTTCCCAGAGTTTGTTTTGACCCAATTCCCACTGGCTATTTTGGATCATACAGTTAATGTTGCTTAAAAAGAACTTCAGTATAAAAAGTGAAGTGCTGGGAATTAAAATGTGGGAGATAGCTGTATGTATTTCTATTGTACTGCTTTATTAATTTGATTAAAAATTTTATTCTGTTACCCTTTGCAGGTTCAAATTTATATAGTAAATAGTTGTATTTGCTTTCCGTATTTTGAGCTTGCTTGCCTTTTTCCAGTTTTTGTTTCTTGTTATTGCCATGCACTCTCAACTGGCAAGAAAAAGCACATAAAACCAGGGATAAACTTTACAGTGGCCCTCAACCAAGAACTGACTCAACTGTAGAAGCCTGTTTTCCTGCAGCCACTTAATGGATTTGCGCCCATGCCTTACATCACATTTTAATTTTTTTGAAAACCTGGTGGCCAAGTTAGGGGATTTTAACATATCAAAAAGTATATATATTGAGTCTAAAAAGTACTTTGTTGTGTTAAATATTTGCTGGTTTGGCATTGAATTAAATGTAGGAATAAGACCATGTCAGATGCCAAAATAAAGTTTCGGGGATGATATTTATTCATTTAGCAAATTTTTGAGGACCTTCTATGGACTATGCCTGGACTGGGTGGTAGTCTCACAAAGATAATGGATAATAACTCCTGCTCGTTAGGGCATTCTCAATCTAGTGAGTGAGAAAATGAAATACTGTAAATTGTTTTCTAGCCTCAAATAACCCATGTGTGAAATGTACTAGTTTATGCACATTTACCTCTTATACCTTTTTCTCAGCCATGAGAATTCTAGTTAGCATTTAAGTGGATATGAAGCCAGTGCAGTTGGCAATAAAGAGGCCATAAAGAGGATGACACTGTTGTCACAGAGTTAATATCTTCATCAGTGGGTAAAGAAACATTTAAGTGGATATGAAGCCAGTGCAGTTGGCAATAGAGGCCATAAAGAGGATGACACTGTTGACACAGAGTTAATATCTTCATCAGTGGGTAAAGAAAGCCCAAGCATTGAGTGATGTTGGTGAAAGCAGCAGTCTGAGGCCCTGCTGGGAACCTGGGCTTAAGCCCTGAAGGGATCCGACGTCTGAGGAACTTAGTAGTTATGGCCTGGTGACCTTGTGTCATTAAGGCTCAAGAACCCAACACCTGATTAGCCATGACATGCAAAGTAAGCTATGAATTTGTATCCACTAATCATGAATCCCTCTATTGAAGGTTTTTGTTTGTTTTTGTTTTTGGTTAAACTCTCAAATTGATGCAAGCATGGTAGAGGTAGGCCCTGAGACCTGTGGGAACCTGAGGAAGAGGTTCCTTGTCTGGCCTGGGATGTGAAGACAGATGAGAAGGAGAGGGGCTGGAGGTGGTGATCAGGAGCTAGGGAACTGAAAGACCTGAGAGCTCAGTGTGATAAGAGCACAGGACCCTGGGAATGTGGAGTGGCGGAAAAAGAATGAGTTAGAGTGAACTGATGGTTTAAGCCACTGTTACAAGTTTATAAATTAAGGAAGTTGATTCTATTTGAAGTGATCCAGAACTTTTTATTAGCATCATAAACACTGAAATCTGATTTTTTATTATTTTAGTAAATTCACTGAAGAATAGATTCTAATTTACTAACTGGTGTTTTCTTCATTAAAGAAAAGAGTTGTTATTACCAACCTGAATGGTCACACGGCACGAGTCAATTGCATACAGTGGATTTGTAAACAGGATGGTTGTAAGTATTAATCTGATTGTTAAAGCTGATTTCAATTGTTTTCTGGTAAAGTATGATTAGTTGTTTTTCTTTCATCATTTCTTTTAATTTACCAATATTATGCAATTGAAAAATAGAAGAAAAACGGTATGTCCAATGAAATAATCTGACCTGTACTTTTACTTTATAGCAGTTGAAGCATTGATAACACAGCGGTGCTGAGGGTGAGGGTAGAGGCAGCCCCTGACTATGGCAAGACCCCTACCATTGCCGACAGCTTCTGCTTGAAAGCCTATAAGCAGGCCCATGTTGGGGCCCTCCCTGGCTGCAATTCTGGCTCATAGGGCTATTTCTGCCACAGACAAGCTATTGCTTTTTTAGACAGGACATTGCATCTTTGTTGACCCCAGTTTGTACCTTAGTAACATATGAAAAGTACAGGCTTAGACTGGATCAGGGGACCCTTAGAGGGTCGTGACACCTGTGGGGTCAAAATTATTCTCAGAAATATGAGAAGATTTTCACAGTTTTTATCCTCATTCTCTCACAATTATATAGTGGCACTTTCCAGCAGCTACATGGTGTGCGTGATGCTGCAACAGATTAGATACAGAAGCAGATATGAAAATCCAGCTGTATTCTTTTTTTTTTAATGCCTACAGCACCTGGTATTCCTAGGAGACCACCTAGGAATACCAGGTGCTTTAGGCATCCAGTACTAACCAGGCCTGACCCCGCTTAGCTTCCGAGATCAGACAAGATTGGGCACGTTCAGGGTGGCATGGCCGTGGACATCAGCTGTATTCTAATACAGTCAGCTGTTAAAGAGATTTGCAGAAATATAAAACAGTGCCTTTCTTCTCTTTGTTTTTTTGTTTTGGAAAATACAGGTTTTTTCCCCCACCACAAAGATGTTATTTTTGTTGACGTGTAATGGAGTTCATCATTATTTTTAAGTAAACTGATAAATATTTTTTTACATTTCTCAGTTTAAATTTCTAATGTGTTTAATATTGGTACATATAGTCAGTCTATATAAACAAAAGCTTTATGAGCTCCTCGAAATATTTTTAAAGTGTAAAGGAGTCCTCATTCCAAAAAATTTGAAAATTGCTGGACTAGATTGTCTCCAGGTCTCTTTCATCTCTAAGATTCTGTGACTCCCGAATTTTTAATAAACATATTGCTTTTAAATGGTGCTTCTAAAATCTCATAGAATTTTCTCAGGTGTCTTAAATTTACCTATTGTAGTATTCTCGTGGAGTCTGGATTAATTTTATTTTTTATTCCATAAATATTTATTGAGAGCATTCTGGGCCAGGCACAGTTGCACAAGTTCCTGAATAAGTGAGACTCTGCTATGATTTTATTTGTGATATTTTTTAAAAAGACATCTTATTTCAATTGGCAATGCAGGATTGGTCATATTAGGTCAATATAAACCATTCAATAGTAGAAAGAGTAGCTGTTAGTGCACATATTAAAACAATTATAATTATGTTAATTGCCACCAAATGACATCAAAGACTACTTGACTCTCAGTAGAGGGATTCATTATATTAATTTGGTTTGTATATTTTATCTTCCTTTTAAAAGCAAGCTTTTATAAAATGAAGCTCTTAATATCACTGTAATCTGTAACTATTAGGATTGATTTCCTTTAAGAATAGGGCTCTACCACCAGGTAATTCAAATATTCTTTCTAACCCATACATCAGTGAAATGCAAGATTTTAATGATATCATTTCATATTCTTAAAATGTCTGATTTTTAATATATTACTTTCAGGTACATTATAGTAATTCTCAAAATCATGTAATTAGGTAAATGGCTTAATTTTTGTGATGTTGAAGAAATTAAAGCCCAAGATCACAACTGGCTGGCAGCGGGGTTAGGATATAAATCTGGAACTTCTGTGTACATATCTAATGTTCTTTAGACAGTCCCCCAGCTGCTTTCCCTGAATATCTAGCACGTAGGCCAGAAGATGCAAATAAATAGAAAATCCAAATAAAAATTATATTATTTTCACCTTTTTTTTGGTTTTTATTCCTTTTTTTCTGTTATCAACAAAAGTTGATGATATGTATCTGATCTCTAATATATGTCATATACTTGATAGCAGCAGCTGACTGAATGTCTTAGATATGTTATTCCTGCCCAAAGTGTGTTTAGTCTGAATCTTATATGAGGAAACACCCAGACAAATCCAGATTGAAGGACTTTCTGCAAAGCAGCTGACTAGGACTCTCATTGTCACAAAAAAGGAGGGACTGGGAAACTATTCAGTATTAAAGGAGACTTAAAAAACTATGACCACTAAATACATAATTTATAGTACTTAGATTCTGAATTTTAAAAAAATTTATAAATGACATTATTTGGACAATTTGGGGAAATTTTAATATGGGCTGTATATTACATAGTTATAAGATTCAATGTTAAAAATCTTGAATATGTTAATCATACTGTGGTGATACAGGGGAATGTTCCAGTTCTTAGGTGATGTATGGTGAACTGAGGTTCAGAGGTCCTGATGTCTACAACTTATTTTTAAGTGGTTTGTCAAAAATAAAAAGTCTGTGTATATAGATATATAGAGAGGAAGCTACTAAACAAATGGGTCAAAATGTTGTTAATTGGTGAATCTAGGTAAAAGATATATGAGTTTTCTCATCTTTTCTACAGCTTTGAAAGTTTTCAGAATAGCTGGTAAAAAATAAATATTTACTGAGATAAAAATTTTTTTCAGTTTCTTCAACTGAGTTAGTTTCTGGAGGATCTGATAATCAAGTGATTCACTGGGAAATAGAGAATAATCAGGTAGGTAGACACATTTATAGTTATAAGAAACGACTGTTATAGCTGCTTTTATTTTCAGTTTTTTTCCTCATTTCTAGTGTTCTTCCTTTGTGAAGTTGCCTCATTCTTGCTTATCAGTAATTCAGATCCTATATATCTTTTGTATTTCATAGGCCCTGTACTTTCCCTCTAATATGTTCTCCCATATTCGTATATTTTCAGTCATTTCTGTGAATTTTTCATAATTTTGGAATAATTTTCCAACTTCTCTTACGTGGGCTGTTTGATCTGTTTTCAGTGATAGCAAAAATTAATAGTGCTCTGTTCATAGTATAGCTGTTGCCATGATTATAGATTTACACAATTTTGACTGATGTTATGCAATGCTGGGTGTGGATGGACCTCTATATTTAGGTTGTACATAGTTGTAAACAAAGATTAAAAGTGAAAAGTTATTGTGTTAGATATTTAAACATCTGCCACACAGAAGATGTAGATGAGACAAAATCCCGTTCATGAATCATGCACATCAGGGGTCCCCAAACCCTGGGCTGCAGACCGGTACCATTCTGTGCCTGTTAGGAACCAGGCCGCACAGTAGGCAAGTGAGCAAGGCTTCGTCTGTATTTGCAGCCACTCTCTAGTGCTAGCATCACTGCCTCAGCTCCACCTCAGATCATCAAGCATTAGATTCTTATAGGAGTACTGGTCCCTGGTGCCAAAAAGGTTGGAGACCGCTGATGTCATAGTTTTGAAGCCAAACTGTACTTGAATAACTAAAGTACAAGGGTGGCTCCTGGGTAGGTGCTCTAAGTTGCTGTACTATCACCATGGCGCAGTCATTTCAGAAGAGATTTAAGAGGTGGTTTTTGAGTTGGTTCTTAAAATGTGAGAGGATTTTCTTGGGAGGAATTAAAGAGGTGAGGATTCTTGGTAGGAAAAATAGCATGAATAAAAACTTAGGTGAGAAAGGGACCACCTGCTCAGGAGCATCCACTTTTAACCAAAGCCTAAGATGTCTTTAGGGCAAGACTTTCTAAGATTAATCATCTCTCAAGAAGTTCTGTAAAAAAAGGAATCTGTGGGCAGTCAAGTTTGGGAAACATGGCATATTCTATATCTCTCTTAGAGAATCTCAAAGTAGTGAAGGCTCTGAAAAGTTTTGACATGGACGAACTTGCTTATCTTTGTTTAACTAGCATTTCCCAAACTTAAGACTGAATTTTTTTCTTTCTTTCTTTTTAAATCTCTTAGCAGCCCTTGTAACTCTGAGGAATACAGTTTTGGAAATGTTTCCAAAATTATCATACAATGTGAGTAGTAATACTAGAGACATAGAATAGGAGACAATTGTATGGGAATTTGAACACTTAAAAGAGTTTGTTCTTTTTTAAAAAAATTTTAATGTTGAGATTATTATTTAAAAATTATTTTTCAATTACAGTTGACATTCAATATTATATTAGTTTCAGGTGTACAGCATAGTAGTTAGACATTTATGTAACTTACAAAGCAATTCCCCCAATAAGAGTTTGTTCTTTATTAGCAACATTCGGAAGTCATTGATGATTTCTAAGCAGAGGAATATAAATACCAAAAGAAGACTAACATGACAGCAGTGTGCCAAGTTAGAATAGGAAAAAATATGAAGGGATATAGGATGTATTTTTGAAGGAAAAATGATTTTGGCATTAACAAGATAGTTATCAAAGGAGTGGAGAGCTGGTGGTTAGGGGAGTGATTAACCAACAATAGCGGGATTCTGTCTTAGGCCCAAGAAGAAAGGTGCTTCTACAAAGGAAAATAGGCAAGTGGGAGGGAAGATGTGAATATCAGTTGTAAACATGTCATTTGAATTGCCAACCAGATACCCAGACTTGTCCTCAGAAAGAGAGAGAAGGCATAGAGGTGGGGATTTTGGAGTCATCTAGACTTGAATGAGAACAAGGGAAGTGTAGCAAATTCAACTCCTGTTTGGACTGATCTTGGCAGAGGAATTCAGAGAGAGCAATTTCAACATTCATTTTTGAGACCTTGAGGTGAGATTTGGCAAAACTATCCTCAGTGCTGCCCAAGCTTCCGTTGATAGAGTGGACTGCAGGCTAAGCAAGTGTTCTATGTCAGAGAGCAAACTTAGGAGGGGCCAGAGGAAAGAATGTGAGGCCAATCAGGGAGGAGGAGGATGAAAGACACAAAGAAGGATGAGGGAATAAATAAGAGGATTTAGTGGAAGGGGCCACACATTGTAACCTTGGGGGCTTTAAAGTTCCTTTTCATATGCATTTCCATGCAAACAGGTGCTCAACACACCCCGATATCTGATAAAAGGAAATAATTCTAAGCTGCTATAATGAGAGGTTCAGGTCTTTAAACAGTGAGCATTGTTTTTTGAAAAGCTGATGAATTTGAGAGATTTCTTTTGTGTGAGTTTTTAAAATTCTCTCATAGTTGAAATATAACCCTGCTTAAAGATGTGAGGTGTTTTCAATAGATTTAATTTTTTAAGGAAATAATAATAGGTTTATTTTTTTTTTAAGTTTAAATACAGAAAGGTATAAAGAAGGGAAAAAAACTATACACAAAAACTCAACAGTTAACATTTTGATAAACATTGTTCCAGATCTCTAGTTATGTGTATAATTACACTTAAAAGAGGTTATACTGTACCTGAGTTATTTAAAATATATTTTTTTAAAGAAGCCAAGGGTTAATGATGAAAGGAAGCTAGTGTACAGACCCTTATACGTAACCATTAATTAACTTCTTGAGTGGCAGAGTGCTGCCTAAGTAATTGCACAAACAACTGAGGACATCTCTATTTCAACAGACAACAATTCATAGAAGATACTTTTCAAAGGAAGTGGTGATATCTCATACATATAGTATTCTTAAGAAATACACTTAAAATAGCAGAAATGATGCCACAGGGAAGGATCTTGCATGGCAAGCAGGACTTGATAAACAGATCGGTTCCCAGTTTTGTTTGCGATTTTTCCATTTTGTAGCTACACTAGATGTAGACAAGTATAAGTAGATACTAAAAGTACTTGGTAGAATTTTGATGGACAATAGAATATTTGCTCAGTCCCAAAGTATAATCTCACATATTATCACACACAAAAAATTTAACTTCATGTTGAAAAAATCTGGCAGGAGCTACCTTTACTAAGATATCAAAGTTAACTTCACTAAAATTGGGACAAACTGACATCATGTGCTTCCTGATGTGATACATGATATACTTCAGTGGTAATGATCTCAAAATGTATATCTTGAATCTGTTTATGACAAAACATCAGACTAATCCAAAAAGGAACATTCCACAAAGCTGGCTTTATTCTTCAAAAGTGTTAAGGTCATGTACATCTTTCTCTGGTAATAAACATACATTTATTTACATTATTTATTAGCTATAGTGTTTGTCTACAGTAATTTATTTTTCAGTTTCCTATTAGTAATTTTAGGTTGATTGCAATTTTTCACTATTATAAAGAATGTGAGATGAATATTTTTCTGCATTTGTGTTTTATTATTTGTTACATTATTGCTGTTAGTGCCTCCAAGTAGATTCTTAGATGTGAGATTGCTATGTCAAGAGAATGCACACTTTATGTGTCATTAATATGATCAGATTTCTCAAAAGTTTATATTCTCTTCAACTGAAAGGACCCATTTCTAGGTTCCACATTAATCCTATGATTCCAGTTAGATAGAGGTGAAACTGATTATTCCTTTTTTTTTTTTCTGATTCAGCTTTTAAAAGCAGTCCATCTCAATGGCCATGAAGGACCTGTTTATGCAGTGCATGCTGTTTACCAGAGGAGGGCTTCTGATGTTGCATTACATACACTAATAGTTTCTGCAGCGTCGGATTCCACTGTTCGAGTCTGGTCTAAAAAGGGTTCAGAAGGTAGGTTTAGAGACATTATAATCCAGAGTCATGAAATAGTAATTGATAAGCGAATGACAGCCATAAGGGCATACATATCATTTTTTTAAATCTTTCAAGCAGCTCTAAAAATGTTAGAATTACAACATGCGTTTATGTTCTTTGTACTTTTTTAAAATATCAAACTATTAATGTAAATTCTTTCATATAAGTCATTCTGTTCTCTGTAACCTTGTTAAACATTGACCATTTAAGTGCACATGGTCAGTGGGGGTTCAGGATTGACTTCTTTCATCTCCCATTGACACCCAGGGCTGTGATGATGACCTAGCTTCTCTCAGTGGATAAGCTCAGAGTTAGTTGTTCATGGTATTTTTTTAATTATTTCTTAGTAACATGCCTTCAGACCTTGAACTTTGGCAATGGATTCACTCTGGCTCTCTGCTTATCTTTTTTGCCTAATACTGATGGTGAGTATCCTACTGATGGTGAGTATCCTAAGTATATATTAAAGGGCGGTATATTTTCATATCTTCCTATGACTAAAACCTAACAGAAACATATTGGGCCTCAATTTTGTATCTAAATTTCTTCATGAAACAAGTTGAGACCTAGCTAATATACTTTTGTTTTCAATATTCAAATGATCTTGAGTATAGAACATAATGTTAAGGGAGGCTATTAGGAACTTTGGCAGCTGTTGGAAATTTAAATGACTTAGTAAGTACTCAAGATTGATACTGCTATTTATCAAATATATTGTCGATGTATATAAATCTAAAGTGGAGAAATTATCTTTTTAATGCTTTAGAAGGTAAAGGACTAGGATCAGTAGAAAAAATACTGAAGATAGACCATGTGAGCATTTCACTCAAGATGACAGCCCCTTCACTCCTGCATGATAACATTTTTGCCTAAAAGCACTTAAAATCTCTTAACAGAAAAATTTTTGTTTTGCTCTGAAACCCATCTATACCTCTCTTTGATTATCCTCTATTAAAGTGATGGCCAGTGTGAGTCTGTCTCTTTGCCTCCTCAGTAACCTGGAATTCAGGTCTGGTGGAAGGAGATAGGGCCTAGAAGTCACCAGCCTCTTGCTCTCTGTGGCAGGAGCTATGACTCTGGTTTCATGTGATGCTTCCACTTTGTGCAAGGGCTTCCTCAGAAGAGAAACACACATTCTGGTTTCATAACATAGAATTTAATTTCTTCCCACATATACAGGCCAAGTGACTGGAATTTTTTGGTTTTGTTGTTAGTTGATTTAAAGTGAAAAAATTTTTGAACAATACAGTCGATAGCAAGGTGTCTCCTTAGGAAAAGAGTTTTGTTTTTTTTTTCATCTTATCAGTCATTAGGGCTAGCCTTTGTTAATGTGAATTAGTTTTTTGTCTTATTAACAAAACTGATTTTACAGTCGTACTTTTCATAGCTTTGTAACCACATATTTAATTACATGCTCTTTTGTTCTATAATTGCTTCATGAATTTTGTTTTACTATTGAATTCTCAAACAAAATGTAAGGTTCTCAAAGAAACAAACGTACCCTTACATCTTTGTGCAATAGCCATGATGTTAGGCTTATAGTAACTCTTCCATTTTATATTCAGTTGGGCTAACTTTTCATATTGGTCTTCTGGCTAACAGTGAAAATGCTCCCAATTTGCTCTTAAGCTTTTCTCTATCACTGCTCCTTCTATCATAAATGACACATGATGGAGAAGAAGAGTCGCAGTTAAATTGTCATTCTTTGCCAAGTAATCTTTTAATAGAATATTTTGGAGTGTTCATTTTATTCCTATTGACATTTATTGAGCACTTTCAACTTATTTGTTCAGTGGCGTGGGAAATAGAAGTTTGGATTTTTTACCTAGAGCTTAGAATCCAGCATAGGTGGTAATTATGACATGACGGCATTACTTACAGTGAAGCTTCTTTCTTTCTGCAGTACCAATATTAGCATGTGGTGATGATGACTGCAAAATTCACTTATTTGTTCAACAAAATGATCAGGTAATTAATGATGTTTGTTAAAAGATTGGAATTGGGTTCTGCTTAATTACATATTTTAATACAGACTATTTTCAGATTATAGAATTGTAGGAATGTTTCTATCTAAACCAAAATAATCTAATAGAATTTTTTTTTTTTTAAATAATTCTTTGTTAGATGGTTTTCCACTCTGAACACCAAGCAACTGCTGCCCTGATTACCAGGTCCAGAGTTGTTAGGGGGAAACAGGTTGTTTGGTGGAGGAAGGAGAAAAGGAAGATGCTGTGGTAGTCTTTTTTCTTAAAAATTCTAAATGAAGTATACCATACCTACAGTGAAAAACTGTAGTGTTTATTTGTCCTTCTAAGTTTTACCTGCCCTTTGAGTAGTTAAACTAGGGGACGGAATTTCTGAAAAGGGGACTGGTTAACTCTAGGCTCATTTATTTCATAATGGAGATAGTTGTTTCTTTCCATTCTGTAAGACAGTTTAAAATGGTTGTGAATGTCTAACTGCTCAACTTTTATCTATATCGTGTCACAGCATATATCATTTTATCTTGTAAACATTTAGAGTATTTGAGGTTGACAGATGTTATCTATTCATCATTGCTCAATTAGATGATTTAGATGATTATGAGATTTTTTTTTTACAAACGAGGCCTCTATATGTCTAATTAGATAGTGTTCTCAGTGGGAAAAAAATAATGCGGTAGGACTTGCTGAGACCACATAAAATTAATAATCTACATGAAAATATTAAATTCTTATACCAAGTTCAATGATTTTTATCTTACTAGTTTCAGAAAATGCTTTTTCTCTGTGGACATGAGGACTGGATAAGAGGCGTGGAATGGGCAGCCTTTGGTCAGTATGAAATTTTACTAAAGTACATATGATGGCGACAAGTATGTGTAATTTCCAAGAAAGCAGCAACCTATGTTTGAATTTAAAATTTTCTTTGTATGTAAAATTTTTCTATTGTCCTAATTAGGAAAGAGGATACTTATCTTCTCTATTAACTATTAATTGGGGTGGTAGAGGATGAAACAAGTTAATGTTATCAGAGGACATGAGCTGACTATTCCACATGCAGACATTCTTGAGAAGTTTTTTGTAGAACTTAGAAGACTATATAAGAATACCACATGTTATAACCATTTATTAGTATTACATGTATATTTGTCAACGTTATTTAAAAATACAGGTTGAAGGGTAAGGAAGAAAAGTAATTTTTTTCAGGAAATCTAGAAATGTACCTGTTGTAGAGGAGAAAATCTTATATCTAAATTTAAGATTATAATGTTTTTAACATAATAAACTTTGTTTTTTATTTAGGTAGAGATCTTTTTCTAGCAAGCTGTTCACAAGATTGTCTGATACGAATATGGAGGCTGTATATAAAATCGACGTCATTAGAAACTCAGGATGATGACGATGTAAGACTGAAAGAAAATACTTTTACTGTAGAAAATGAAGGTGAGTAATAATGAAACTATTTGGTGTAATAATACTTAGGTCTAGCTGATTCATTTATCTTTTACAGCACACCTATGGGAAGGTTAGTTTTTTCAAAAGTAGCAGAGGCCTACATGACACCTGATACTGTGGATTTTTCCTTTTTTTATTTTTATGTGATGATGAGTCATTTTTTGTATATGAAACATTTTTCTTTTAAACCATATTAGTGACATTTTTTAAATTACTAAAAATTTTTAATATTGTATCATTAAATTCATTTGTAAAATGTTAGTAAATTTGCAGATTTAGCATAACAAGATCTAAAGGAATAATGCAGATTATCCATACTTTTGTAGGAAGACATTCTACAAAACAGGCTAAAACTATATTTGAATAGTATGTGTAATTCTGATTTTCTTATTGTCTGGCATCTGAACAATACCCTTGTATGGTAGATCCTGTTGAAATGTATTTGAAGAAGGTATTTTTGGATGTGTACCTAAATTATAAAGTTAGTTCTTAGTGAGCATTGTTCATTCAGGAATTTTCTTCTTTGTTATTACTCTTCCTGGTTATAAAGCCCATTAGAGTTGAAATTTTGGTAACGGTTTTGTGAGGGGAACCAAGAAATACTATAAATAGAATGTTATGAGTAGCTATTCCCAAATTTGAAATTTTTCATGATATTTTTATTAGCTATTTTGTTTGAAAGCTCACTGATTTGACTTCCTTTATTTCTACATCTATCTTAATTTTTTTAAATGGTATTTTAGGTTATGATACTAGGAAGCTAGCATGTTTGTTTTTGCTTTTTAATTGCAGTATAACAGCTATTCCAGAAAATTTAAAATAGGACATATTCTTCAATATTTATTTATGACTAGGCAGAGACAGTTTTCTGTACTTTCAAAATTTATTGAGGACTCCATATTTATTTATGACTAGGTAGAGACAAATGTAGAGAAATATTTATCTTTAGAATTTTTTTCTTTTGTAATTTTAAACAATGGTTGAAGTTAATGAAATTTAGAGTGCATGTTCTTTTTGCTGACTAAATCATGTTCTGATTTTTTTCTGGACATAACTGTCCAATGGAATTGGTTATGAAAAAAATTTTTTTAGAAGAGCTTTGAGGAAAGAATATTTCATTCCTTTTGTTATAGGTATTAAAATAGCATTTGCGGTTACTCTGGAGACTGTACTGGCCGGTCATGAAAACTGGGTAAATGCAGTTCATTGGCAGCCTTCATTTTACAAAGGTAGGAAGAAAAATATACGCATATCCCTCATTTCAGTTAAATCTCAAATACAGAATTTTAAGCTGACCAGATGAAGCGAAAGATATTTTTTAGTGTGATTAAAAATCTCGAATATGAGACGTTTTCAAGTTGGTAAAGTGTATGTAGTACTGTAAGCTCTGTTCTGCTTGACTCTCAGTTCCATTGAAAATTGTCATTCTGAATGGGTAAAGTATGATTCCTGCCATAATGCCAAAACCACCATACCCTTACTCACTTTTTCTCTTAAAAGTACTCACCTAGTCTCAATGGGATTTAAGAGAGATTGACTTTCAAGCCAACTTCACTGCTAATACAAAGTTGGTAATACTGAGACAAATCATTGATGAAAAAATAAGACTCTTTTCCCTTCTTTCTTTTACCCTTAACCTCCATTTATGGAGTGACAATTGTATGCATGCTCAAGCTGGTGCTTGGGTGTAGAGCTGAGCAAGGCACAGCCTCATATTCTTCCTCTAGCCCTTTCCCCAACACAAGAATAGAGACTAGCGATGGTTAATGCTCAGGTAACCACCATTCAGCTTTATTATGCCATATTTGCTACACTTAAAAAAATTTAGCTGTTGCAGACATTGATGACCCCTGTGTATTCTTTCCTGAACCCTTTCCCTTCCATTCTTTTCTAGAGACAACTACAGTACTGAATTCAGTGCATTATTATTCCCATCTGTGTTTTTATACTTTACTGTTTTATGCGGCCATAAACAAATTGTTTTACAGCTATAATGTGTAACAACTTGCCTTTTTAGCTTATTATGCTAAACATTTGGAGCTATATTCATGTTGATTTATGAAGCCCTAGTTTGTTTATTTTTATTGCATTTTAATATTCCATTGTCTAAATATACGACAACTTGTTTATCTGTTCTTCTAATAGTAGACATTTGTATTGTTTCCAAAAGTTTGCTATTGCAATGCTATAGTGAACATTTTTGCAGTAATTTACAAACATGATGCCTGTTAATCACCTAAAAGCATTAGTTTTTATTTTTTAGATGGTGTTTTAAAGCAGCCAATGAGATTGTTGTCTGCCTCAATGGATAAAACCATGATTCTCTGGGCCCCAGATGAAGAGTCAGGAGTTTGGCTAGAACAGGTAAAAACATGAATATTTAAGAAATAGAAAATTGAGCTTAAAACAATATTTAAATTCCAAATCTTTTAGAGCTACAAATGTTTATGCTTTGTGCATGTTAAATAAGTAAGAACATAATCTCTGGAATCAATTGTTTCTATTGTGAGATATGTGGACCACTGATTATGAATTGTTTTCTGTCTGTTATTGCATAGGTTCGAGTGGGTGAAGTAGGTGGAAATACTCTGGGATTTTACGATTGCCAGTTCAGTGAAGATGGCTCCATGATTATCGCTCATGCTTTCCACGGAGCATTGCACCTTTGGAAACAGAATGCAGCTAACCCAGTAAGAAAAGCACTGTTAAAGCATTTCTGATCAAATACAGTAAATCCGAAATGAAACCTAGGTTATCAGTGTTCTTTTACATATAACACTCTACAGAAACATAATAGAGACATTTAAGTTCACATGACATCACTTTTTGTAAACATCATACTGTTACTTTACTAGGTAGGAAACTCATGCTTTTCTAAGAATAAAAGTATTCATTTGTCCGGCATTGCTGAGGAATTGAAATTTACCCATAGTAAATTCCCTATATAAGTGAACTTCAAGCTATATAAATTTTAAGCTTTCCCTTTAAATTATATAAGTTTTTGATGGGAGTTTTTCCTAAAATGTATAACTTTTCTGTCTTAAGGTAGCATATATAACATAGTTTGATATTTTCTTTTTGGACAGCTAGGTACTGCATAGATAATGAATGATTGACAAAAAGACATTCTGAGTACCTGTTATTTTGTGATGGAATATATTGATGCTCTTAGGGCTGTTAATATGTGTAATTCTACATGGCCCTCCAAATATTGGGCTCTTTTAGATCTTTTTATTTTCTTCTCAAAGAGAAGTAATCTTCTAATGCTCAGCACTGTATCATTTTTCACTTTCTAATTTACTTCTGATCTGCTGCTTCGGTATTGGGAAATGAGGTAGCAGGAACGTAGCGACTAAGAGCACAGGCCTTGGAGCTAGACACCGTAATACAGATCCTGCCTTAGCATTTAATTAGCTGTGTGTCCTTGAGGATATACATAACCTTGTCTCAGGTTCCTCATCTGTAAAGTCTGCATAGTAATAGCACCTACTCATAGGGTTTTTATGATGCTTGAATGAGTTAATATTTGTTTAGTATGAAAAATAGGGCCTGGCGTATACTGGATACTATGTAAGTGTATTTTAAATTAAATAAATGAAAAAATAAGAACATTGAAATGTGTCAGTAGATTCTGAATGTACATCTGAGGACTTCTTTTATAAAGGAAAAATTTATGGATTTATATAACCTTTAGTTTGTGGGTTCTGTCATAGTTATCTTGTCTATGAGGATTTGACCTCTCTACATTGAATGACTATTTTCTTTGTGTCTTTCATTTGGAGTTGACCTTCAAAATTGTTTCCACTGTTAAATTGGAAATCATCAGCTACCACACTTTTAAATAAGTAATATTTTGGGGGATAAATTTAATTTTGTTCTTCTCTGGCCTCCCTTTAGCTATATTTTAGGTGGTCTTTGAGGGCCTTTATAGAAAATCATCAGATGAGTAAGGAGAAACTCAAACTGGAAGACAGAATTTTACTGTGCTTGTGTTTATAAATTTATAATAGGTACCTATCAAGTATTGAGGGAGATTTTTAAAATAGACTTTATTTTTTAGAGCAGTGTTAGGTTCACATAAAAATTGAGCAGAAAATACAAAGGGTTCCTATATACCACTGCCCACACATATGCATAGCCTCCTCCACTGTCAACATCCCAAACCAGAGAGGTACATTGTTACAATCAAGACTGATTTCTAAAAACAGTGCCTTTTAGGACTGTCATAGTGGAAAACTATACTGATAGTCTCAAAGTGCTACCAGTTGTTAAGAACTTTTTGGCAACTCTCATTAGTACTAACTTTAGAATTAGTTTTTATGTCACAGAGGAAATTAATATCATTTCTTTGTCTCAGCCTTTTTGTTTTTTTTGACCAGAATATAGCTTAGCTTAATCATTGACCCTATTCATCACAGTTGGCTTCGAATGACCTTCTAGGTATATACAAAAATGTAATTTTCCTCTAAAGGCAAGTTTTACCACCACTTGAGGTTGTTCAAAAAGATGCTCTTTGGACCAGGCATATGACATTTTCTATATGTCATTGTGTCACTTTATGTGGTTGCTTGGTACAGGCTCCCTCAGTAGGTGAACCAGCTAGATTTGATTGAGCCTTCTTTCCTCTGTACCTGCAACTCCTTTTACTTAATAAAGTTGTCAGGCTCACACTAAGTCTGCTAACTCATTTTATATAATACTACTTACTATTTAATTTAACAAATAAATACGTACATAGTACCTAGTATGTGTCAGCATCATTCTGCATGCTTTACAAATACAAACTCATTTAATAATCATAATGACCCTGTGAACTAGGTAACTTTTTGACAGAAGAGTTAGTTTAGACACAGATAGGTTAAATAATATCTGGCTTCTAGGAGGGATTCAATAAGTGAAAAATGGAGTGGAATTTCCCAAGATTACTGCCTTAAAGGACATAGCACATATTTGAATGTTTAAGTTCTAATATGCTTGACTAGAAAACAGATCTTATTATTTTAAGATCCCATCTTGTTTACTTAGCTTTTCACCTTGCTCAGGGCCTTCAGTCTTTCCCATTATCAAGTCTGAGGGCTGTGAAGGCATTATCAGACATTATTTTGAGTGGTAGTGGTGGTGGTCTTTGATTATTTTAATGTGTCATAAGCACTTTCATTGCAGAGAGAGTGGACTCCAGAGATAGTCATTTCAGGACACTTCGATGGTGTCCAAGACCTAATGTGGGATCCAGAAGGAGAATTTATCATCACTGTTGGTACTGACCAGACAACTCGACTTTTTGCTCCGTGGAAGAGAAAAGACCATTCACAGGTAAAATGTTGTACTGCTTGACTCATGCACTTTAAAAAACACCCATGAACATATGAAAAGTGGGGCAACATCTATAGCCATTAGGAAAATGTAAATTAAAACCATGACAAGATGCCGTTACACACCCTCTATAATGGTTAAAGTAAAAAATACAATATTAAGTGGTGATAAGGATGCAGAGCAACTGGAATTTTCTGCATTGCTAGTGGACATGCAAAGTGTTGCAACCAGTCTGGAAAAGCTTGATATTTTCTTAGAAACTTAAACTTATATGTACTCTTCTTTACAATTCAGATGTTAATTGTTGTGAAAATTTATTTACTTCAGTTCCACATAAAAGTTCTGTTATATCTTATAATTTTAGCTTTATTTCATTGGGAAACACTATCAAGTCTGCAGTAAAAGCTAATTTCTGAAGTCATATAGTATTAGATAATAATGGTTGAGGGAGGTTTTCGTTCAGGAAACTTCATTCTTGGCCCTGAGTTAAAAAACATCTCACTAAAACTTTACCACTGGTAAGTCATTGAACTGTGCTATGTATACTCAGCTTCAGTTTCTGACAGAAATTCCTGGAACTGCCTATGAGTCAGTTCCTGAGGTCTGATGAAATTTGCCAATGCCATGACTGCTTTAGTCACATGTGGTAGATTCAGATTAATGGAGTTGAGGACATGGCAAGCAATACTATAGTCCAGCGGTCTTCAACCCCTGGGACACAGAATGGTACCGGTCTGTGGCCTATTAGGAACCAGGCTGCACAGCAGAAGGTGAGTGGCGGGTGGGCAAGTGAGAAAAGCTTCATCTGTATTTGCAGCCACTCCCCAGCGCTAATGTCATTGCCTCAGCTCCATCTCCAGTTATCAGGCATTAAGTTCTCATAGGAGCACCAGTCCTTGGTGTCAAAAAAATTGGGGACCACTGCTATAGTCAATTAAAAAACAAGGCAAATGATTTGGAGTGATTTTCTATGGTTCTTGGAGATTTGTTACCGATATTGCTTAGTTGTTTATTCATGATCCATTAAAAAACTATAGTGGACTTAACAAAAAATTTAAAATTTTTGCTCTTTGAAAGACACTGTCAGGAAAGTGAGAAGACCAGTCACAAACTGGGAGAAGGTATTTACAAAGCACATACGTGATAAAGGATTTATATCCAGAATATATAAAACTTTTTAGAACTCAGAAATAGGGAAACAGACAATAGGGCAAAAGATTTGAACAAATATTTCTCCAGAGAATACTTTGGGATGGAGAATGAGAACAGGAAAAGATTCTTGACACCATCAGTTGTTAGAGAAATGCAAGTTAAAGCTACAGTGAGATACTATTACACACCTATTACAATGATTAAAATTAAAAGACTGACTAGACTTAAGTGTTGGTGAGTTGAGTGGGCAACTGGAACTCTCATATACTGCTGGTGGCATTGTTAAATGTACAACCAGTTTGGAAACTAGTTTGACAGTTCCTTAAAAATTTAAATATACATCCACCACATCACTCAGCCATTCTGCTTATAGGTAGTATTTATCCAAGAGAAATAGAAGCTTATATCTGTACAAAGACTTGTACAGAAATGTTTGTTTCTGCTTTTTTTAGTAAAAGACAACTGGAAACAACCCAAATGTCTATCAGTAGGTGACTAGATCAACAAGTAGTGATATATCTGTTCCAGGGAATATTACTCAGCAATAAAAAAATCGAACATTTAAAACACAACAGCATGAATGAATCTGCCCTGTGGTCATATTTTCATGGCATAATAAATGATTTTGTGTCTGATATTTTGTTTGTTGAAAGGAATTTGAGTTTTGAAACGTATGATTGTTTTTGTTTATCCTATTTTAATACCCAGGTGACTTGGCATGAAATTGCAAGGCCTCAGATACATGGATATGACCTGAAGTGTTTGGCAATGATTAATCGGTTTCAGTTTGTATCTGGAGCAGATGAAAAAGTTCTTCGAGTATTTTCTGCACCTCGAAATTTTGTGGAAAATTTTTGTGCCATTACAGGCCAATCACTGAATCGTGTACTTCATAATGTGAGTATCCCTCTAAATGTTTTAACTAAATCTTGTTACTTCGTTTTAGATTTTAAAAAGTTTGCTTAAGACTGTAAATGGAGTATATGGATAGAAAGAGAGTCAAAATGTTTTTTTATTGTCTTGACAAACTTGCATGCTCTGTAAATTAAATATTAAATATTTAAATATTAGAATCATAAATTTTGTAACAAGTTAGCTGAAGACACTAAAGAATTTAAATATTAAATTAAGGCCTGAATACTACATATCATCACTGTGGCTGGTTTTGATGGTTACCATATAGTTTCATGTGGGATAAATTGATGGATATAGATTGCAGACTTTAAGCAGATTATTGACACTTTCAATGGCACTCTGCAAAAAATTTTTTTTAATATTTGGTTATTTAAATATGTTTAAGAAAAATACTATGACTACCTTTCTGGTAAACATCTGTGTTTGCATGCGCCTCATCAGGGATGTGCCTGTGAGACTCTTGGACTAGAGCTCCAGGCCTTCCATTTTCAGACTACGCTTTGCTGGAAGGCAGCCTATTGCATTCCCTAGCAGACCCTGAAACCCATTGGGCTGTTAGGATTCGATGAACTCATCGATGAGAAGATCCCCATCTTTCTGAATTCTGTAGAGGGTTTGGGGTTAGCTGGAGCCTGTCTGTTAGAGATTGATTGCTTCACATTTTTGTAGTGCCTGAAGTAACAATAATTTTTAGCGTTTAAAACATTTATACTTTTTATTCCAGCAAGACGGTGATCTTCCAGAAGGAGCTACTGTCCCTGCTTTGGGATTATCAAATAAAGCTGTCTTTCAGGGTAAGGCTTTAGTTTCCAAAATAATTGAGCCCATAGTGGTATTTAAAACCTGGTTACACTCTTAACATGTACTTAATGTTCATTACAGCTGATTTTTTTTAAAAAAACAAAACCCATAGTACATGCATCTGTCTTCCCCATCACATATTTTGTGACAAGTACTCAGTACACATGCAGACCCCGAAATTCGTGCAGCTTTCACAGAGTGTGTCATGGAGCACTACAACCACAGATGCTAATATAGTAGCCTCTAGAATCTGTTCCATAGTTTTAAAAGTTTGGCGAATGTTACATCAAAGAAAAAGGAAGGAATATTTATAGAATTGACTAGTGCTCCAAGGAGCACAGTTGGAAAATACTGGAGTAGTAGAAATACCCTTGGCTATGGAATCGTGTGAGTACAGCTTTGAATTACTCTGCTTTGAAGTGCCATTACTTTCTAACTGGTGGCCTTAATATTGAGACGTGCATAGGAGACATAAAGATGGTGACTACATTCATTATGTTGATGTGTTTCTTTGAAACCAGGAGATATAGCTTCTCAACCTTCTGAAGAAGAAGAGCTCTTAACTAGTACTGGTTTCGAGTTTCACCAGGTGGCCTTTCAACCATCCATACTTAATGGTAAGCAATGGCAAAATGATGCTTTAATAGAATTATTAGTATACATTATATGATATCTCGCTGTTGGCATAAATAAGTGCTATAGAATTCACTTTTTTATTTGCATGAAAATAGAAAAAATAATTGCAGTGTTATAAATTTATTGTAGAACCTCCCACTGAGGATCATCTTCTGCAGAATACTTTGTGGCCTGAAGTTCAAAAACTGTAAGTTAGCTCTTTGGTCTGATTCTGTTAATAACTTGTGTTCCCCCTTCTCCCCAACTTAATTTTCTCCTTTTTTAATACCTGCATTCCCCGTGCCCTAAAGTTCTTTTAGTGTCCTTCATAAGGGTTAGGAGTCAAACCTCACATAGATTTTTATATTACTATATTATATTTACTAGATTTGTTTACTGGTCTTGATTTTTAAAGTGGAGAGGCATAGCATAACATTATATATATTTTTTCTTTTTTAAAAAGACAAGATTATTCTGGTTTTTGTTTATTTTGTGGTTGCTCATCAAAATCTTTTCATGGTTTATTCATGGCTGGGTAAAAACTTGTATTTTAATCTATTTGTTTGAATAAGTTGTATTACTTTGAGGAAGTTGGTGTTTTCTTCTAGTCTCTCTTTTCGCCAAATGTTTGCTTGAAGAGAAATGTAATGGTCCCTAAAAATACTGTATATTAGGGACATTGATGATATTCTTTTCATATTTAAAAATTTTACAGCATGAGAATAGGTACATTTACTAATACAGGAATCATGCATTTCCTCTTTAAATTTCAGATATGGACATGGTTATGAAATATTTTGTGTTGCTTGTAACAATTCAAAAACTCTACTGGCCTCAGCTTGTAAGGTAGGGAATTTTACTTTTTTATTTTACTTGGTCACAGGTTATTTGAGTCATCGAGCTTTTGCAAGTTCGATAGTATGGTCAGAACACTGTTTGTTGGCCATGCCACCCTGAACGTGCCCGATCTCGTCTGATCTCGGAATCTAAGCAGGGTTGGGCTTGGTTAGTACTTGGATGGGAGACCACCTTGGAGTACCAGGTGCTGTAGGTGTTTAAAAAAAAAAAGAATGCTGTGTGAATGGCCACTGAAGTTTGCTTTTTCTGAATCTTGTTTTCTCATTCTCTTTTTCTTTCTCTCCCTTCAAAAACTGCAGTTGCATTTTATTTTTATTTTATTTTTTAAACCAGTAACCATCATTTTTTATCATCAATGCAGTTGCATTTTAAATCTATGCCAGCTGCATATTTTTTGTTCCTAAATGCTTGATTTGAACTGATTTATGTCCTTCCTTAAAAATTACTTAATCAAATATCTTAAAATGAGACCTAAAAATGCAATACATTTTAAGTAATTAGAGTCCTGGAGACACAGGGAGAATGAAAAGGTGAAATGCGGAGTGTACTTCATCTGATGATTTCTTGAAGATATTCTTGGTACACACCTAAGTGAGTGGAATCTGTCTGCCCATGCCAGGATGAGGCAGAGTGGAGTCTGGCTCAACTGGCCATCAGAACATGCTACTACAGAATAACAAACTTCAAATACTTGCCTGGGAGAATGATCTTGAACTCACATTTCAGCATTTATCTATATTCTGTGGAGTGTAATAATATTTGTGGAGGATTGTTTGAAGGGTCAGAGACCCACACATTTCTCTAAATTTTCTAAAAGTTATTGTTTTAAGCATGATAATGACTGCTAGTCAAGATGGGTCACTCTGTCCCTGCTTTTGCTGCGGCTTCTTTGCATTGGCCTATATTGAGAGTCATCATAAGAGATTATTTCAGTGCCCCTCCTGCCTCACCCACCTTGTTTGTTGTCTCCTCTGTGAGGGTGGTACTGAAAGTACTTCCTTTCATTGGAGGGGCTTGTGGGAAAAAGGGGGCTTAGTAGTAGAAATAGTTATGCTTTTGCTGAGCAGCTAATTTGATTTTAGCTTTGGGCACCGTCCATCATATAACTGATTGTTTTTTCTTTTTCAAGTTGGCTCACTTGTAGCCACCATGTGCAACTAAAATTTTATGTTTTTTATTTTAATAAACAGTAAAAAAGAGATGTGATTGCTAGTGTGGCTTGGGAAGTTTGAACCTGAATGATTGTATAAACTCGCCAGCTCTAAAGAGTCAATGACCCATGGAAACGTCTGGCAGCTTTATCCTCGAGGCACCAGCCTTACCTTACTAGGTTTCTTGAATAGAGGGTGCCAGCCACACGTTTTGATTGGTAAAACAAATGATTAGATGCATTCTTTTAAACTAACATTTTTAACAACTTTTTTAGGTATCATTAGTGTTCTATAAGTTGCATATTGAAAGTGAACAATTTGATAAGTTTTGACATATGTTTATACCTGTGAAATCATCACCACAATCAAGATATGAACATATCTGTCAACTCCCAAAATTTCCTGTGTCTCTTGGTAATTTCTCTTTCCTGCCCTCTCCTTACCCTCTCCAGCTCCATCCCATAGAAACCCCTAATCTGCTTTTTGTCATGATAGAGTACTTTGCATTTTCTAAAATTTCGTGTGAATGGAATCATACAGTATGTACTTTTTCTTTTTGGTCTGGCTTTCATGCAGTGTAGTGATATGGGATTCATCCATGTCATGTGTATCAGTAGTTCATTCTTTCTATTGCTGAGTAGTTTTCCCTTTTATACATATATTACATTTGTTGATCTATTCATTTATTAATAGGCATTTGAGTTGTTTACAGTTTTTGGCTTTTACCAATAAAGCAGCTGTGAATATTCATGTACAAGTTTGCATGAATATGTGCTTTCATTTCTTTTGAGTAAATAACTGTGAGTGGAATTGCTAGATGATGTGGTAGATGTATATTTAAAATTTTAAGAAACTGCTAAACTATTTTCCAAAGTAGTTGTATCATTCTACAAGCCTGCCAGCAGTGTATGAGAGTTCCAGTTGTTCCACACTCCCACCAACACTTGGGATGGTCATTCTTTTTTACCTATTCTAATAGGTGTATAATATGTCATTGTGGCTGTAATTTGCATTTCCCTAATGACTAATGATGTTGAATATCTTTTCATCTATATATCTAATATGCTAATTTTCCATCTATATCTTCTTTGATGAAATATCTGTTCATATCTTTTGCCCATTTCTTTATTGTTCTCTTTTTACCGAATTTTGAAAAGTTCTTTATATACATTGGCTACAGCTATCAGACAGATACTATGTAGATAATTATTTCTAGTGGCTTGTCTTTTCATTTTCCTAACAGTGTTTTTCAAAGAGCAGAAGTTATATATTTTAGTGAAATCTAATTTACCAATTTTTTCTGAATTGGGTTGTGATTTTTGTGTAGTATCTAAAATTTTTGCCTAACTCAAGGTCACAGGGATCTGCTGTTTTGTTCTGGGAGTTTTATAGACTTTACGTTTTATATTTCGATCTGTAATGCATCTTTAATTAATTCTTGCCATTGTATAGATTAAAGTCGATTTTCTTGCACGTATATATCCAATTATTTCATCATCATTTGTCGAAAAGACTATCCTTTCACCTACTGCATTTTGCACTTGTGTCAAAAATCAGCTGTCCATATATGTGTTGGTCTATTTCTGGACTTTATTCCATTCATCTTTTTTTCTGTCTTGATTCCAATTCCATATTCTCTTAATAACTAGCTTTTAATAATATGTCTTGAAACTAGGAAGTAATTGTCTTCTAACTCTTCTTTTCACAGTTGTTTTGGCTACTCTAGGTTCTTTACTTTTCCATATGCATTTTAGAATCAGATTGACAGTTTCTACAAAATCAATTCTGGAATTTTGGTGGAGATTGCATTGAATCTGTAGATTAATTTGGGGAGAATTTTAACAGTATTGAGTCTTTTGACACATGAATGTAGTATGCCTCATTTAGTTTAGGTCTTTAATTTCTCTCAGTAATGATTTTTTTAGTAAAGTTTTTATTTTAGAATAAGTTTAAATTTTATGAGAAGTTGCAGAGATAGTACATATATATATCTCTCACCCAGTTTTTCCCACTGTTAGTATTATTATCAGGAATATTAAGTAGTTTTTGGTGGCAGGTCTTACACATATTCTGTCGGACTTATCCTTACTTCATATGTTTTATCTGATTGCTTGTTGCTCACATATGGAAATATAGTTGCTTTTTGTATATTGATCTTATATCCTGTGACCTTGCTAAAGTTATTTACTAGTTCTTGTAGCTTTATTGTAGATACCATAGAATTTTCCACGTAGATGCTTATAGTGCTTATGAACAAAGAAAGTTTTATTCTTTTCCCATATGAATGTCTTAATGTTAAATAGAAGTGGTAACAGCAGAAATCCTTGCTGTATACCTCATCTCAGGAACAAAACATTCTGTTTATGTCCAGTAAGAATGATGTTTGCTATAGATTTTTCGTGACTTGCTCTTTATGAGGTTGCATAATTTCTCCCCAATTTCTAGTTTGTAGAGTTTTTATCATGGAATGAATGTTAGATTTCATCTAATGTTTTTTCTTCATCTATTGACATGATCATATTGTTTTCCCTTTTGAGTTTATGAATATGGTGAATTACATTGATTTTCAGATGATAAACCAACTTTGCATTCCTGGAATCAGACCCCACTTGCTCATCATGTATTATTATCTTTTTATATATTTTTGGACTCAGTTTTCTAAAATATTGTTTAAAACATTTACATATAGTACATGAGGAGTAATGTGATGTAGTTTTCTTTCCTGATAATGACTTCATCTGATTTTGGCATCAGTAATGATAGCCTCATAGAAATATTTTCTTTTCTGCAATTTTCTGAAAAAGTATGTAGAATTAGTAATATTTCTTTTTTAAATGTTTGGTAGATTTCACCAGTGAAGCCGGCTAATCCTGGAATTTTCTTTGTGGGAAGGTTTTTAACAACAAATGTAACTTTAATAGATTTTAATCTATTTAGGTTATTTTCTCGAGGGTGCTTTTGTAATTTGTGCCTTTCAAGAAATTTATCCCTTTGATCCGAATTGTCAAATTTATTAGCTTAAAGTTATTCATAATATTGCATTATGATCCTTTTAATATATGAAGAAATTGTGGTGATACCACCTTTCTTATTCCTGCTATTAGTAATTTATATCTTCTCTCTCACACCCCCCTTTTTTTTTTCCCCCAATACATTCTGGGGATTGATTAGGAAATTAATTAGATTTATTGATATTTTCAAAGAAGCAGCTCTTGGTTTTATTTTTTGATTTTCCTCTGCTGTTTTTCTTGCTTTTATTTCATTGATTTTTGCTGTTTTTATTGCTTTTTTCCTACTTAGATTCCATTTTCTATTTCTAATTAAATAAGGTTAAAGCTGAGTCGATTTCAGACCTTTTTAATATAAGTGTTTAACTATATTACTTCTCTATACTATAAACTTCCCTCTATTGTTTTTGAGACATTCTGCAAATTTTAATATGTTGTTTTTATTTTTGTTAAATTAAAAATACTTTCTAATATTCCTTTGATTTTTGTCTTTGATCTATAGGTTATTTCAAAATGTATTACTTAGTTTCTCTATGCTGTTTTCCAGTTATCTTTCTGTTACTGATTTCTGATTTAATGTCATTGTGGTCAGAGAACACAGTATGATTTGAATCCTTTGAAATTTAATCTTGGTCAGTTTCCATGGTCACTTTGAAAAGAATGGGCTCTGTTTCTGTTGGGTGGAGTGTTTTGAAAATATGAACTACATCAGATTGGTTGATAATATTGCTCAAGTCTTCTTTATCCTTTCCGTTTTTTTGAGAGTGGCATTTTGAAATATCTGACTATAATTGTTGACTTATTTTTTAATCCTTACAGTTCAGTTTTTGCTTTATGTATTTTGAAGCTCTATTGTTAAAACATTTATTATTATTATTATGTCCTCTTGTTTACTAGTTTATCGTTGAAATGACCCTCTTTATTTCTGGTAAAATTTTATGCTCTGAAAACATCTACTTTGTGTGATATTAAGATAACCATTCCAGCTTTCTTTTGAGTAGTGCTTTAATTATATATCTTTTCCATCATTTTACTTTTAAGTTATTAGTTTTATTTTGAGTGGGTTTTTTGGGGACAGCCTATAGTTGGATCTTTTTTACTCATCTTGATAAACTTTCATTTTAATAGGAGAGTTTATTAGACTATTTGCACTTAATGTAATAAATGAAATGGTTAGATTTAAATCTGTCTTGCTATGTGTTTACTTCTTGATTCATTTGTTTTTTGTTCCATTTTACTTATTTTGGATTAATTGATTACTTTTTATGTCCATTTTATGTCCATTTTATTACTCCATCTTATGTCCATTTTATTACTCCATCTTATGTCCATCTTCGTTTTGGTTAGATACAAATTTTTGTTGTATTATTTCATTAGCTGTTTTACATTTTATAGTATAGTTCTCTAATATACCACCGTCTGCCTTTGAGTAAAATTGCACTATTTCATGTACCAGTTAAGAACTTCATAGAAGTATACTTTTGTTTCCCCCTACTTTGTGGTATTGTTATACATTTTACTTATTCTTAGAAATCCCACAATATATTATTATTTTTTGCTTTGACCAATTAGCTGTTATAGAGATTTAAATAATAAAAAATTTTCCATTAGATATCATTTTCTTTCTGCCTGAAGCATATTCTTTAATATCTTTGTAATGCAGTTCTGCTAGTCATGAATTTTTTCAGCTTTTACCTGTCTGAAAAAAATCCATTTCTTCTTCATTTTTGACTGATATTTCTGGTGTGTAAAGAATTGTTGGTTTTCCTTTCAGCCATTTTCTTTTGACTTGCATTGTTTCTCATAAGACAGCTGTAATTTTTCTTTGTTGCTCAGTAATGGTTTTTTTTCCTTTAATTACAATTGTATATTTATTGTTGGTTTTAAACAATTTGAATATTGTTGGTATGATTTTCTTCATGTTTCTTGTGCTTGGGTTTTATTGAATTTGGATCTGTAGGTTTATTGTTTTCATCAAATTTGGAAAATTTCAAGCCATTATCTTTTTAAGTATTTTCTTTCTCACCCTTTATGGAGACTCTCGTTACACCTGTATTTAACTGCTTGGATTTGTCATTGAGCTCAGTGATATTCTTTTTTTTAACCATTCTATGATTCATTTTTGTCTCTCAGAGATCAGTATTCTTTGTTGCCAGATATCTCATATTTTGGAGTGCCATCATTTTCATGTACTTTGGATTTTTAGTTTTTTCACATGATACTCCATATTGACTAGAAGTGAAGTCTCTAAAGTGTTAATTACACAATTAATACACAAATGAATTCTTGTAAAAATATTGAAACATTATGAGTACAGCATTAATCTCTGATGATTCATCTTTTTTAATCCCAATCTTTGTCTTCCTAAAGACTGTACACCTAGTTGTGGTATGTTATCTTCTCAGAAATTTTTTTTTTGCACTTACACAGATACATAAAATATACCTATAGAGACAATATATTATTTTTTAAATGTTTTCAGTTTATTTCTATTTAAATTGTTTCATCATTGTTTTATCTCTGTTCTACAGGCAGCTAAGAAAGAGCATGCAGCTATCATCCTTTGGAACACTGCATCTTGGAAACAGGTGCAGAATTTAGTTTTCCACAGTTTGACTGTCACACAGATGGCCTTCTCACCTAATGACAAGTTCTTACTAGCTGTTTCCAGAGATCGAACCTGGTCACTGTGGAAGAGGCAGGATACAATCTCACCTGAGTTAGGTAAAAACAGCTTCTGATTGGGAGGATTGGTAGTGAAACAGATCTCTGTTTTATCCACCTTGGGCAGCTGTTGGGTGAAGAGAAACAAATGATACCAGGGTGAAGAGCAGAGTCTCACTGTTGTGAAGTCTTTCAAAATCCTCTTATAATGGAGGAAGACTCAACCTCTTAAGATTTAAACGCAGGCGACCTTTGGGTTGACTTCCTTGCACTTATGTAGTTAGGATGGCATGTGTTCAGACATTTGAGTTAAAGAAATATAAAAATCTACATATAGAAAATCTAGATTTTGCAGATGGTTATAGAATGCCACCATATTCTGAGCTAGGATATTATGGGACAGGAATAATGAAGATATAATTAAATTATGAAACTTAGAAGAACCATTATCTTTATCCTTTTCCTACCCATCCCTGTCACTTCGATAATTGGGAATGGTGTTTTGGGCATCCATCTGTGAATAACATGACCCCTGGGCAAGATATTAACACATCTACCTACCTTTCTACTCTGAGCCTAACAAATTGAAAAAAATAAATAAATAAAAGGGAAAAAGTGTTTTTTTTTTTCATAGTAGCCATTCCTGTTCCCCCAGATTCTTTGGGTAAAATCTAGAGTGTTATTTACTCATATTTTTATTTTTTCCATTGAATTCATCTTGTGATATTTCTAGTCCCTTAAGTTTCTTGTCCTTTATAGAATACCAGGGCCTATGACACATACTAAGCAGCATGTGTTAGAACAGACTGATTTCTTTTGCAACTAGTGATTTCCTAACATGCAACTCCTACTTTTAAAAAAGTTAAAATGATACTAATAACATATCCATTAATTAGCTGTATCTTTGCAAATTAAGAATTAGTAAATACCTTCTACTTCCTTCCTCGTAAGCAGTTATGCATTTTAGAGTTTACTCCATATAAGGACTAGAAGTTACATTTAAATCTTACAAAGGAAAAGATATTTTTTTAAGTTTGGGTTTATTTTTTTAACATTATTCAAGGGTGCATTAATCTTTTTTCCATATCTTAATATGCAAATCTGGCTACTTTCTGAGTAAGGTTAAATTGCTTCAGGCCTCTTCTATCAGCATAAATTAAACCTTTAGCTAAGTGCCTGGAAGATGTTTGTCATCAGTCACTAAAGAGGGACTAGTCAATATAAAATCATTCCTTTCTAGAAAGATAACTATATGCCCATAGTCTTCTGATGAGAGGTCAACTGCCTAGCTTTGGTCTGTTGCAAAAGTCAGCATATATAAATTGAATGCTAAATTACATGATGTATATGGTACTTCAGCATAGCTTTCTAACAAGTAAAAAATAGCTTTCTCTGCTTTGTGAGTAGTGCATATGTGTTTCTTTCAGATCCAATTTTCAGTCTCTTTGCCTTCACTAACAAAGTCACTGCTGTGCACAGTAGAATTATTTGGTCTTGTGATTGGAGTCCTGATAGCAAGTTTTTCTTCACTGGAAGTCGAGACAAAAAGGTAATATTTTTAACTCAACTATTTTTCCAGGTGTAAAATAATATTGTTACAGGTATGTTTGGATAGAAAACATATAATCCTGACTTTCTGATACAACTTTTAAAAACTGATTTATGTATTCTCGTTTGTATTTTTCATAAGCATACATAAAAAGGTATTTTCTTACTTGTTGAATTCTTTAAGTACATTTCTCTGAAATATCAAATATGAACATGACCTGCATTAGATGGTCCCAGAATGAAAAAAGTAGTAACAAATGGATCAAGAATAAGAGATTAGGAGAGCAGAAGCAGGGAACAGGGGCATAAGGAGAAAAACACTTTCCACTTATTTTTACTTTTATGAATTAAAATTTTTTTTCTGTCATGAATGCTTATTACCTTTTCATTCAGTGGTGAGAGTGGGGCGTGTGTATGAGATCGAAGCTTTGAAAAAAACAGAACAAGTTAGCTAGCAGTAGTTTTTGACCATGACACTCGCCCTTGTTTTTTTGGGAAATGTTCACCTGGCTTCTGGTCTTTTCTCTGTCTTCATACTCTTTCTTTTCTTTTTCTGCCTTTCCTGCAGACCAGAGGTGTTAAGACAGTTGAGCATTTTCCTTTTCTCTCCCTGCCCTCTCCTAGTCATGGTACAATTTACTGAAGCAGAGGGCTAGCATAGCCATATTGTCATGCAGTAAGACACTGAAATGTCAGCCTCTAAAACTCTTCCTTTTGGACCTTCACTTCTGTTCACTTGCCTGTTTAATTCTTCTCCAGCATTTATTTGTCTGCACTGTGCTAGCTGCTGAGAAAGTAGGACTGCTTGTGCTCTCTGCAATCATGCCCAGTAGCAGATGGTCCAGCTGTGGCTCTCGGAGACACATCAGGGCTGAAACAGACAAAGCATCATCTACTGCACATTCTCAGAAACGCATTTCTGCTTCCTTGGGCAGAGCCTTCTGCTCAGAATCTTGCTTTGGTCCTGCATTTTCCTGTCTGCTTCACTTTCCTTTCTGTGTCTTTGTGACTAGTCAGACCCCATTGAGGCATGAACTTCCAGGGAAGCATCATTTCCTATACAGGGTATCTTTAAGGTTAGGGCCTCCTGAAAGTTGAGCTGATACCCTAAGCAGTGGGTAGTGTAGAGGAAGAGCCAGGGCATTGTCCCCATACATGACAGGTGCATGAGCCCCTCAGTGAGGACATGATCAGTAGAGTCTCACTGGATCAGAACTGATTTCTTGAGTGTAAAGGGCATGCCAGGTGCCTCCTGGTCTCTATCTTTGGATGGCACACTTAGGTAGTTGAAGTTTCAGAGACTGTGTTGGCTACACTCTGGCTTCTCTGTGATCCTTGAAATATGCTCTGAAATTCTGGAACACAAATGATACATTTATTTAAATGCCAGAGCAAGTATTTTACGTTATCTATGTCATTGAAACTCCAGTGCATTGCCAGAAATCTTACAAAGGGAAAGCTTTACAGAGTTTGATCTGTCTGTATTAGGTGGTTGTCTGGGGTGAGTGTGACTCCAGTGATGACTCCATCGAGCACAGCATCGGCCCCTGCTCCTCTGTCCTGGACGTGGGTGGGTCTGTGACAGCTGTCAGCGTCTGCCCAGTGCTTAACCTCTCCCAACGGTCAGTCTCTGTGTGGGGGGCTTCATTATATGTTTTCTTTAAGAAGATCACTTGGTTTCTCAATATATAGCCCTTTTATACTTACACTCATGGGTTCTTTTAGCTTCCAAGCTATTATTTTTTTCATAATGCTTATGTTTCTCATAAGCGTTTTTAAATTGATAGAATTCAGTGATATTTAGAGTGGCAAAAGAGAGATTGGGAGTGTGGCTCAAATGTTCTTATTTCACCAAATTCAGGACTGTGGCGCTTTCTCTGTACCAAGTGTCTTCAGCAGAATGAGGGCCCCTACAGCCAGCCACAGAAACATTGGTTTTGCCAGTGGAGGACAGAAGTAAAACTGTGTGTACCATCCATGGAGAGAATGCTCCTTAAGGGCACAGGATAGCAGTGCAACCCAGTGCACTGGGCTGGTGCTTTTAAACAGAGTCCTTTGTAAGCATGGAACAGTTGAGAACACTGTAAAGAACTACTTTAGAGTGATGATGGAGATAACACAAATTCATGCTAAATTAATCACTTTCTTCCCCCTCTTAAAAACAGATATGTTGTTGCAGTGGGATTAGAGTGTGGAAAGATTTGTTTATATACCTGGAAAAAGACTGATCAAGTTCCAGAAGTAAACGACTGGACCCACTGTGTAGAAACAAGTCAAAGGTATATTCTATTTCTACTTCCATCAGACTAGATAGAAATCATGGAGTCTTTAGTAGCAAATTTTATGCCACAGTTGTATGGGGAGAGACACAAATCATTATTCATGGTGCTCACCACTAAATGGTTCCTCTATTCTATGCTAATATCTTCAAATTAATGTTTGTTACTATATTACACTTGGTTTTTAAAAGTTTGCTTGACTATATTGCTTGTTTGCATAATGTTGTCTTTATAGATAACACATTTGAGATAAAAGTGATTTTCCTAAGGTGTTCTAGAATTTGACTATAATAGATTCTTAATAAAGTTTTATTCAAAATGTTTAGTGATTTTTTTGAAATATTTTGGTGGCTACATCTTGCATTTGAACACTTGAGCTCAGGTCCTGTAATGGAGCAAACTGTTGAGTGCCCCTCAAAGCCCCGTGACTGGCTTCCAAGCACCGTAACTCTGTCCCTGAGCCTTACACCCTGAGCACAGGCCTTTGTCACCTGAGCTGACTTAGAGTACCTGCCATTTGCAACCTCCTTTTCACTCTGACCTGCCTAGACAGGAGGGATCATTTTTTAATCTACTTTTAACCCATTATTCTTTAAAAATGTCTAAACTTTCCAAAAAGGTCACTAACATCATTCTATATCAGGTTTTCTTAGGATTCTTTAACTTCCATGTATCTGCACTATTCAAAATATGATTTCAAATACAATTTTAAATGACAGTATCATAATGAGGTGATTGGCTTGAAAGAGGGAGATTTGTGAGTACATCTCTTCTATTTTATTTTTACTTTTCAATTATAGTTGACATACAATATTATAGTAGTTTCAGGTATACAACATAGTGATTAAACATTTATGCAACTTATAAAGTAATCATCTCAATATCCGTCTATTATGAGCACATGTCTTTACAAGAGTTTTCATCTAGAGGAGCTATCTTATCTACAAAGCATGTTAAGTGCTCATTATAATTGTATTTGTTAAATGAGACCACCTTTGTTACTCTTGTCCTCATGGCTTCTCCCACCTCTCTGATGGTGAGCTTAGCAGTTGGACTAGTTCATACCGTTGGCTTACTAAAGAGGGAAGTACTCCAATGAATTCCGCATTCCAGGCACTTGAAATTTTCTCTCTTCCTGGGCTCACCTCCCTTTTCTTTCCCTTCCTTTCACCTTGCTTGCCCACAGTGTTCCCTCTGCCGTCGTCTGATACCCAGATCACGTCCATGGCCCAATGTAGGACAACTGGCAGGAAGCCTCTTAGAAAGCACAGGCGAGGGTCATGTACAGAATTTGAGTTTTTCATTTTTTTTTTATATTCATTATTGTGACTTTGGATTTGTAAGAACTAGTTCCCGACTTAACACATTACATTATTTAGATTGCTGATATTCCAGTTACCAAATTTGAAGTACCTTTCAAGTGAACTTTTTGCTTGTTATGAGTTACAAAGGTAATTAATAAGCAAACACTGCCTTTTAGGTTGGTTCCCCCCATTCTCTGTCTTCTAAATGTGATGTATTAATATTGTGAATTTAAATATTGATAGCTAGATATTTTTATATGTATACATATGTATATATATTTCAGTGGTGTCACTACTTCAAATCATTCTTCTAATGAAATAAGAGAACTTTAATATTGATCAGTAACACATTCCAGTGAAAGTGGTGTCACTTAAAATATTTTTGGAACTTCTCTTTATCACTTGTGTCCAGAACTAACTTACTAGATATAAGAAAACCAGTTGTAATACCTTTTATACTTTTACTCATTTTGATTGCTTTTTTTTTAAAGCTCAGCATTCATTTTACTGATAAAGCTCATCTCCAAATGACTTTTGACTGCTTTCAGTAATCAGTTTCATCCTCACAGGAAGATGAGCTGTCAGAGTACTCTGACAGCATTTCCAGTAGAAGAATTTCGGGAAGCATTGAGGCACAACAATACTGTGGAAATGTGTATTACTTCCCAGAGGGGCCACTTGCAAGGGCTCAGTCATTTGGTTGCATAGGTTCTGGTGTACTGATTTTAAAGTGTGTTTCATTCCTTCAAGGTTATACTTTATTCCTACCTTTTGATCCTGAGAGCTCATCTGGTGACAGGGACTCTCACCATTTGAAAGTATAATTTGTGTGCTCTGGCACTGTTTTCAGTCTTTATTGTCTTAAAATCTAAGTTTTTCACTTTATTCCTTTTTGGTTTGGAGGTCTAATTTTCAGGTTAAATTTATAGAAGATATTATATTTTCATATTTATTTAACAATATTTTGGGGAGCATTGTATGTCTGCTATCGGTCTGAGCATGAGCATTAATATGAGTATCTTGCCCAAGGTTATGTAGTTGAAGATCACATTGGTGACCAGGGTTCTTTCACTGGGCAGTTTATTAAATCTTTCACTGTCTTTCTTTACCCAGAAGTAAAAATGTAAGAGGCCATCCATTTTATAGGGATGTGAGAAGAATAAAATAATCTAGAATATGTTGCAGAGTTGGAATTCTTAAACACATTTAGTAGTTATCAGAAAGGCTGATTTTAATAGCCATAAAATGAATTCCACTAATCATTAAAACAAAATTTGATGGAAAGTGTCTCTTGCTCTTTTTGGTGGTATCCTTGGTCAATAAATTAAATATTGACAGTTTTAAGTAAAAGATGTTTTCAAGGTTAGAATAAAATTGTTAAAATATTATTGATGGTATTTTAAAGCCTATAAATTTTGATTTTTAGGTTTTGACTTCCATTTATATTAACATCAATAGTAAGAGTATACTAGTTAATATGTAGGTAAACACCCATTAAAATATTTTGTCATAGCATATGTTCATTTCATGATTTCTCTATCTTTGTTTTAGCCAAAGTCATACGCTTGCTATCAAAAAATTATGCTGGAAGAATTGTAATGGAAAAACGGAACAGAAGGAAGCAGAAGGCACTGAATGGTTACACTTTGCAAGTTGTGGTGAGGATCATACTGTGAAGATACACAAAGTGAACAAATGTGCATTGTAATGGACTTAATAACTACAAGCATATAATCATTGATGTCTTAAAATATTTAACATGTAAATGGATAATTGGTATTTACCTCATAATTTCATTGAGTTTCATTTTTAAGTCCTGTATCAGTAGTATTAATTTGGGTCACAGACCATTCGAAATCTAATGAAAGTTATAGATTCTTTTCTCAAAATTGTTACATACGCACACACTCTCAGAACCTTGCCCCATACTTCCAGGGATTCACACCTGCATCCATGTATTCCAGATTAAGAACCTCTGTTCTTTTTTTTATGAACCAAACTTGCCTAATTTTATGTTATTTTGGGCCTTCTCTTTTCATATGTCCCTCTTTGGGACATTTTATTATTTATTATCCTCTTCAGAGGAAGGACATAGAAAATACAGAGAGGAAAAAAGCCAGATTACTCAATTTCTATTTTAACAGTTTTTGTAAATAGACCACACAAAGTGTGGTCTTGACCCTTTGTTCCCAGTATACACCAACCATTTTAGGAATTTGGCAGGAAGTTGGGAGTTTGAACTTCATTCAGTCGTTCCATTTATTCTTTAAAAGTACATAGATTTTTTCTCAGAGTTTGACTTAAAGTAGAATATCTTGACATTTAATCTGATGTATGGGCTGAAAAGTAGAGTTCTGAATCATCTGAATTTGTGTGTAATATGACATAAATGAGTCATGAGAGTTAAAGGATATCCCCCCTAGGAGAATGAGTAGTGGGAGCAGAAGGAAGAACGTGCTAGATACAGAATGTCGGGTGTGTCAGCTGAAGTTTGGGAAGTAGTCACAAAAACTGGGACTTGGGAGTTGGTTGGAGAGAGGATAAGAGGGGCGTGAGAAGTACTGTGAAGACCAGTGTGAGAGTGGTTTTCCCTGACCCTGTTGGAACATGGAGTCACCTGGCAAATTGGCAACTGAATGTACATAATCTACTGAAAGAAGGGAGGAGATTATGCCATTATCTAAAATGACATCTTGCTTCCAAAGGAATTAAGTGATATTTTTGCCTAAATGGACGTTTCTAGACCAGCACTATCCAGTATTTCTAATCCAATAGAAATATGAGCTACATATAGAATTAAAATTTTTGTTTTCAGGGATTCCAGCTTTTATTTTTCCCCTTGTCACAAAACAAAGTAGAAGACATAATACAGGATTAAAACCACAAAGGTAGTTAAATTGGTAGAACACGTATACACAAAAATATCTGGATAAGAAGACAGGCTTGTTTACAGTGAGGAAACACGTGTAAATTAAGGTAGTTTGTAGTTTTCATAGGAAACATTTAAAAAGATCAAATATATGCTACTTGGGTGCCACTGTTTACAGCAGTATTGAAAGGGAGAAAACCACTCATTTCGGGACATATACCACAAGGTCCAGGTTTTACAGCAGTAGCGTAATACACAAAACTATATTACAGCTAGTTGATCAGAGTTTACTGATTATTCCCAAATATGTCACAGTTTCGGCCCTCAAGTTCATTACTACAGATTTCAACAACTCTAAACTTCTAGCTACTGGGAGACAGAATGATTCTAAGGTGCTTTCTAAGAGTTACAAAATCTCTACGGACCCAAGGCCATCTGTCATCTCCATAAGTCTCTCTCACTAACAGCCCTTATATTCTTCAGAGAAATAGTTAGGAAAAAAGTCAGACACCAGCGTAGTCATTACCTCCTAGGCCAAATCTATGACAAAAGCAGCCAACATTACCATAAAATGAGAGTCTTGAGGCTTATCTTTAAAGGCTTATTCTGGTCTTGAAAATTGGTAGGATAAGATTATTTTCTGCTGAATCTTGAATAAACACAGGAAGACTTGTTCTTTATTGGCTGGTCTTGGAGTGAAGGTCACAGACAGGAGTCTTAACCTCTTATGTACTTTAGTTTCAGTCAGCTGAAAATCTGAATTTAAAAGTATGCTAAAAATCCTAAATCCAAGCTTTTGTAAATTTGCTATTAAAAAGCCTTTAAGGGTTTGCTAACTTGAAGTCCATAAGTGCAAGGGGACGAGAGCTCTGAGCCTGTCAGGTTCCCATTTTGGAGGAAGGATCGGTGTTTCCTACAGATTGCTCAATTTTGCGTAAGGGAGAAACCAACATACTAGGGCAAAGAATTAGTTTCAATTTATTCCATGAGGAATCTTCTCCCATGGTAAAGAAACAATGAGGAATGAATCTTAACTGGTCTCTTCATCAGAAGTGGTAAACTTGGTGTCTATATTCATGAAGCCAGACAATTTTTTAAGCAGACTGGAAGCAGATAGTAGAACCAACTTCCTGTAACCATTATACCTTGTATTTAGCGAAAGCAAACATCAACTTGAGCAATATCCAAAGTCACTGTTAATTATTAAAGAGTGAAGTTCACCACTATAATACTTAAAGAGAGGTACCTACAAGGAAACCAATTAAACCCGGGTGAAAAAAAATCCAAATAAGTTGTATTTAGGAATGAGTTGTCCAAATAAAGAAGGGCAACTGATGAGAATGTACCCAGCTACACTTGACATGAAGACACTATGCATAGAACCTTACCTGGCAAGGGAATTTCTAGTAACTAAGGGCAGGAGAAAGAACAAAGAGCTACTTCTACATTTTAGTGTCCAGATAGCATAATAGAAACTTCCCAAGGGCAATATATATGCCATTAATCACTGAATAAAGCGGTTGTGTTATTTTTTTTGTTCGAGAAGCTTGTTTACCTCCCTTTTGGCCATTCCAGTGTATTTCAAAATGATTCCATGTTGGTTTAGTCCAGGAAACAAGAGTATGAAAGTCACTATCAGGTGAGGAGAATTTTGTGGACTTGCTGTCCCACCCAAGCAACCTCAGCAAGAGAAATGATCATGGTCATGAAGTATGTTTTTGGCTTCTTTAGTGCGAAGAGGTGTTTCCACCAGCTCACAGCTCTACATCGAGCTTTTACTAGATTGCTGCAAATTTCATAGAATCTTAGCTATGGCTCAGTGGTCCATTTATTGGAGCCAAAAATTCTAGGCTAGTCAGCCAAGCACAAAAACAACAAAACAGGAAACACCAAACAACACGTGGATCTAGATAGTAGAAGTCAGAAACACCAAAGAAGCCACATCCATGATGGCAGATGGAAGGCAGGCTCGTCCCACCTGAGGACTTCATCAGCATCACTTCAGTCTATCCTTGCAGCTGCTCTTCCAGACTCGGAGTCTTTCCAGCCAGCAGCTTGGTACTGCGATTATCTTCCTCCACCACCATCCCCAAGGTGCCACTTCAGTGAGCCTTCCCCTAAGACCACAGCAACCCAACCTGCCTGTAATTTAAAAATTTCTAGTAGCCACATAATAAAAGTAAAAAGAAACAGGTAAAATTTATTTTAATGACATATGTTTAAACTCAATATATTCAAAATAATATTTCAACATATAATCAATATAAAAGATTACTGATTATATTTCATACAATATAAAGTGCATTTTACACTTAGAGCCCATTTCAGTGTGGACTAGCCACATTTCAAGTGCTTGTATGTGGACAGTGCAGTTCTAGATGATTGAGTCTATATGAACTTGTTTCTCAGGCATGTGTGCACATGTATGCACTGAGGCAGTAAACTTCTGAGCTTCCCAACCTCAGAAGCCAGGACATCCTGAACTACTATTTTCTTGCTTATGAACTGAGTGATTTGAGTCTTTATCTTCACTGGCACACAGGGATTTGTTCAGATCCCATGCATGTGGGATTCCAGAGCAGATTCAACAGACTAACTTTGCTCTTTTAGAGCCTTTTCCAGCACAGAACTCAAGCCCCGAAGGTTCCCTGAAAGCAGGCCTTCTCTTGGAGAGACTGGATTCATGGTTGATTATTGTTTTGTCAGTTGTGTTTGTAGATAGTTTACTCAAGATGTCCTGAAGCATCTTCTTCAGTAATCACCCAGGTAATTCAGTTCCATAAGCATTCACAAGACTTGCTGTACACTTGACAGTCTGCACTGTAATTCATACACTTATATTGTAATTTTATACACACAGATCGTAATCTACTAAAGAAGCATCCTTTGAACCATGTTGTAGTAATATGTGATATATAAAGCAAAAGGGCAGTCTTGGAACTCTGCTCCAGAGGAACTGAGGAGTATTTCAAAATCTCCAACCTGCCCTTCCCTAGTATCCCTGATATCCCATTTCTCTGCTTGGTTCACAGCACAGAGTTCGGATTGATGCCAAGTGCCAGCCAAAGCAATTGCTGTCTTCTGACCTATACAACCTCCCTAGATGGAGGAACAGTGATTGGATTGTTGTTCCAAGCTGATGTTTACCTTGGACAGCAAGGAGCCAAATCACTATCTTCCCAATAGCCTCATGGGAACCAGAGTTGGTTATTGATTGCAAAAGGAGAATATGGGAGTTAGCAGGAGACAACACAAATTCAGGAATGAAATAAAAGGACAGAATCTCTTTTATATTAGAAATCTTGACCATCATAGAAAATCCTGAATTGCCTGAGGTCTGCCTAGTACTGATGGGTTTTTGTTGTTTTGAACATTATGGGGTTAGATATAATGGAGCCTTGTTCCCAACCATATCGTGATTCCAAGTTGCCCTTTTAGCTTCTATTCACAGAAAAGTTCTGTCACTCTAGGGGAGGAAGCTTCCTTGAGTTTCTGATCTTTCTTTCCTCTGCTCTCAAGTTGTTTCTATCAGAGCTTCTACTCTGCCAGGCCTTGGAGAGAAACCTGCTCCATTACTGTCTTTTATTACTTCCTGCTGTGAGGCCCTCTTCTGATTTCTCCAGTATCAGAATGTCTAGATCAGCAGGTTTTCATTGTTAGGGAGGTATGCATTTCACTCTGTCTGGAAGTACTAAATTAATTTCATTATTGAAACCAAATTCAGCCTCCTCTGAAACACTCACTCCCCCACCCCAACTACTTGGCAGGAAATTTGAGCCATTAAAATAGCAACCCTCAACTACCTCCATGATCATGAGGCCTGGGAGTTTAAGCCAGAGGTTAAACCTCTGCCCTTTCTCACCATTTAAGACTTGACCATTATAATGGAGCTTCCATCCCCACCAGGATAACACCGCTTACCACTGTACAGCAAGTTTAATAATCTGATTAGTCCTTCAGCCTTAGATACTGCCAAGGCACTTGTGGCTTTTCTCTCACCTCTCTGTACCTTCTCACCCATCAGTGGCATAGAGGCAGATGCCCCTTTAAATCTCGCTGTACCCAGGGCTCTCCTCTTTCCCTGAACACTCCAGAGCTCCTGAGATGACCTCTCCCATGAGCTGTGTCTCCAACCCTGTACACTCCTTCCTGAGCCTTGGGCCCAAATCTCCACTTAGACTGAGCTGCACATTGTCTTCCTATGCCTGAGCCCCCTCCTCCTTGAATCCACCCAGTCACCTGGTCTGATAGGTCTGAGCCAGTCCTCTCTCAGTCCCCCTTTGACCTTGAATTCCAACACTTCTGCACCATCTGGGCTCTGGTCAGTCCTTCGTTGCTCTTCACCAGGACTTCTCCCCAGCCTCTGATGGGCAGCGCTGCCTGTAGCCTCCCCACACCCATGCCCCACCTCAGTGCTTTGAGGGTGTCAGACACACCTCTGATGCACCCAGTCTCCTGTAGGGACTCCCCCCAGTGTCTTCCTGCACTGCAGTCTGACCCACTCCCTTCCCTCATTCCTTGTCCCCACTCCTCATCCCCACACATCCCTGTGGTCCAGCATCATTGAAGACTCTGCTTCTGGAATTTTCTAAACCTTTTTTCACCTCCAGGCCTTTGCACATGGAGTGCTGTCCTCCTGCCTCCACATTCTTTTCCAGGACCCTCTGGAGTCCCAGATGGGAGAGGCTCTCACCTTTGAAGCCTCAACCTTTGTGGGAGACCCCTTCTCTAGCACTCTGCAGTTTGGAGGGGTGATCTGATTGTGGATCCATCTTCATGTCCTGAGGGCCTCTCAGACCTAGAGGCTGCCTTATGGACTCTTGTCTTTCTAGCACCTACCATGTTCCTAGTCAGTGAACAGTGAATGAATTCCCCTACCAACGCTTGTTTTCAGCTTCAGTGGTTCAAGCCTGGACAATTGCCAGAGGTTGTAGCTGGTTTCTCTGCCCCCACTTCTCACCACCCCATTCATCCTGGTCATGGTCATTGGATAAATCTGCCCAAATCACCTCTTAGGGGCACTTTCTTGTTCAAAAATCTTCAGAGTAAAATCCCAGCTCCTTAGCCTGTCTCAAAACTTTTCGACCTTGATCCCAAACCTGCCTTGCCTTCTTCCTCAACCACCACAGACTAACTCTGAGAGGCATTCATTAAACTTTTGCCAACGAGCGAATGAATGAAAGAAAACATGAACGAATGCCTTATGTATAGTGGAGAGCCCATTTCTAGGGGACACATCTTCCTCATCAGGCTCAATGTGCTGGTTCAGTGATAAAGCTGTATCAAAGGGGAGGGATTTGAAGTTCAAGGCTGTGTCTCCTGTCTGCCCAATTTGCCCCCTAGGCATATAGTATTCATGGTTCTCAGGTAAGAGAGGGCTATACCTAGGAGCTGAAGAGCTGTTTTCTCTACAAAGCTGTTAACTTTTGGTGCAGAAGCTGGCTGCCTCGGATCTCAGCATGGACCAGCTCAGGCTCCTCCCAGACCCCAGGCCCAGCAGCTGGACCAGGTGAGATGAGGCAATGGCAGCCCTACAGCACAAGACCCTAGAGCTCATTGAATGATGAACACATGTAAGACATTCACTGGTGAGAGCTGGAGGTTCTGCTTCAGGCAGAATGGGAGCAAACAATCCTATTTCTGACAGGCTTTCCGGCAGGAGAGGCTCAGAGAATCTTAATGCCAGTTAGAGGACCAGGCTTCTAGTCTCCTCCCACATCCCACTACTCCCTCCCTTCTTCACAAGCTCACTGCTATGGCCCAGGTCAAAGATATTTTTCCTTTGGGGTGTCTTCCCTGGGCTCCCTGGTTGGAAGTAGCCCCTTTCCTCTTTCCTGCAATTCTCAGCTGTATCTTGAAGCAGTGGTAGGGCACTCATCCCACACGGCCTTGTGGCTGGATGGTCAATAGTTCATTTC